TGGTGTTTGGTTACTGTCTGTCCTCCTCAAAGCAGCAGTGAGGGAAGTACTGAATAATTGGATTTGTGTTTGCAGTGATGGAAGTTGTACTAGTACTACTACTGGTGGCAGCAAAATGGATGGTGCTCTTGTAGATTGTTTTATCTGAAACTCTGATCATAGAAAGACAAGAAAAAGATGTTAGTTGTATTGGATATGAAAGCAATGAAATCAGGGAGAAATAAAATGGCTTTGCATGGACATGGCTGGGATCAGAGAGAAAAAAGTGTCTGGCTCTCTACTAGTATATTAGCCATGCTTGGTGCAATGCCTGCTTCTAGGAAACATTATCACCATGGAAACCTTGCTTTATTGTGGTGTTTTTTGTYACAGCAGAGAAATAAATGAGCACAAAAAGAATTCAATCAACRAGGCTCCCAAACCCACTAGTGAATAGGAGCTAGTAGGAGAATGACAAAGATCTGGATCTGAGATCCAATCTGGTTCAAGGTTTCAGCAGTTGCAGAAGATAGATATCCAATTGTATCCAATGTCTTTCTCAAGCATTGTTGGAGAGTAGTTCTACAAGAAAGGCTACTGGGATGTGAACACCAAAAGAGATTAAGACTGCCTTCCTGCCTGATGGGAGCACCAGAGGAGGCAGYATAAATCAGTGGATTGGGATTTTCACTTTTTGATAATAAGAACAGTAGCAGTTGGTAGGGTTTTATTGCAACATTTGGTGACTACTATGACATTCTTATCAATTTGGAATACTGAGATGTATCCAAGGAGTAGTTTTGGAATTTTCAACTGACCAACAGTGAAAGATTTGTTGTGAACAATAAGAATGGTATTGAGGAATAAAATATGACAAGTCTAGTATTGTATAGACGTGGCTCCCAACTATACAATACAGTTGTAGATTTTGGGCCCTTATTTTGCATGTAATGACTAGTTTGACTAGTACTGCTGAAAGCCTAAATGGGTAAAAAATGCACATGCTCAGTAGTACTAATGTTCAATTTGAATCCCACCAGTCACCAGTTTTGCCACTAAATAGTTTTGCACWCACATGCTTTTTGCTTCAACACATACCATTGCTGTACCGATACAGTAGAAAAACATGTAGAAAGTTAACTAAGTATCAACTCACTCTAACAGCTACAACTTGGTCCCCAAGGGATGCTTAACAAGTATGATGGGCACATGAATCAAAACCCAGTAAAAAGAGTATTCTAGTCTTATGGGGGAGTGGGAGGATCCTAGTAGTTGAATATCAATATTCCTCATGTATGCATACAGGATTAAAAACGTAAAATAAATCTGCTTTTTTAATCACCACAGCAATAATAGCAGTTTGATATTTCAGATCTGTAGCACATCCAGAAAAGCAGGGAAAACTGGTACGTCACATGGCAAAAGTGGGGGGCTTGATGTTATCTATATACTGATCTGATTCAACATTCAATTGGGCTTTTAGGGGGAGTTTCTTGAAGGCGAGAGCATCATCTTGATGACCTTTGACCCAAGAGAAGGACAGAGATAGATAGGGATACTGGGCAATCTGCTCAATCTGCTCCAACAAATCATATTCTGGAGCCAGTGTTGCATTTGCATATCACAAATGTATCCAGGTGGTGATGAGAGGCTTCTTGTTGTTCCTAGCAAATTCAATTTGGGTAGAAGAAGGAATGTGGGATGACTTCCCTGAGGCAAACAAATTTACTCATTTAACTGGGATCACCACTTGTTGTTTGAAGTGGGGAGTCTGAATGGGTCAACCTACCAACAAATGAGAACAATGAGAATGAGACTCAAGAAGAACAAAACAAGTACAGGAGAGGACCCAAACTGAGGTTTTTGCACAAAGTACATAAGTTTTACCAGAATTCTGTCAACATAACGGTTAAAGCTCTAATAGAATGGTTCTTCGGTACAGCAGTTATCAAAAATATGTTATTTGGAGGTTTGTTGTACAATAAGAATTTTATTGTTGGCAAAGTCAGTTTTATTGTCAAAGTAAAAAAAATTATTATGGAGTTAATAAAATTTTTATTTCTGTATTAATAAATTATTCATAAAATTTTATTATTGCATTAATAAAATTTTAATATGCAGGACATTAATCTTTAATAAAATTTTACTATTGGCAACATAATTGATTTTTTAAAAGTAGCACCTTCACAAGAAATAAATAGTAAAAAAGGCTACTTTGGTAACTCTCTAGTTCTCTAGAGAACCTTACTAGTAGTGTTGATAGCATTTCAACTTCCCACCTCTTGTTTTACTGGTATCATGTACTACTGCAAAAGACCAATCCAGCCACTCAGTACCAACACTAATGAAGACAAACAAGAACTACTACTAGTCCCATTCTTTTTTACAGTGAGCAGACTCCCCATTGAAGCTAGTAAACTTGGGGATTACAGCTATTCACTTCTTTCTACCTCTACCTTGGCCACCTATTTTGGCATTTTTTTCAGAATTTTTGTGCCAAGAAACAATGAGCAAGAATGGATTTGTGTTCATTAGACAATCAAAACCTAAAATCTATATTTAACCTTGTGAATTACCAGAAGAGTGGCTAAATAAGCAAGAGCCACCTCTTCTTCTTTGAGAGAAGGATGTTTCTATTTGCTTCAAGGGGCACCACTCCCCATGRCTAGGAATTCATTACACAATATGGTCATTTATGTCATGAGAACAGAAGCCAAGAAACTACTTCTTGCACTACCACTACTAATGACCCATCCACTTTGGAGGGAGGTGCCACCCCTCGGAGCGACTAGAAGCATGCTTTTGGTGACCAAAAGCTATGGTTGTGGTCATAGCGCCTCTTCTAGTTCACGACACTAAACATAATATTCTTAGGATTTTTTTTAATGACCCATCCACTTTACAAAGTCAGGGCTGTGACAGAGAGAAGTATGGATCTTCATTGTCTTGGGTTGAATGCTAATATTGATCTATCTATTGGTGAATATAATTATTTTACAACTGAAGAGCCATCAAAATTGTCTAATAATATCTTCTGTATAAACCAATCAAGCATGATATCATGGTRCATTGTCTGTGTTGTCTGTGTGAAACAAATACTKGGYACCTTCTTGGTTCTGAAATCTACCCTCATATTGGTGGGTCCCCATTTGATATTATTTAGTAATCATGGTTCTTGATATGTTAATCCAACCTTGGACAAGATTACTGTCTGTGGAAAGGTAACCGCAAAGTCACTTGTTACTACAAAAAATGTACTGAAAGTATGAAAGAGGAGCAACAATTAAATCTTGTATTGCTTTTSTAGAAGAAGCAAAGAAGGAACAAACATCATATTAAGCCAAGGTCATCTGACAATTCAGCTCAATAGCATGTAAATTAGACTGAAAAACAAGGACCTGGAAGGAGTGGTCTAGACCTTGAATAAGTGCACCATGGTACTACTAATATGGTGACAAGTCATAATAACCACAGCTTGGTTTAGCCAGAGCATTCTTTCTTCCTGGTGCACTTCCAACAAAATAGAGAAATCAACAAGAAAGTAGTACTACAAAAGCAACACATGTATACTATGTAGACCAGCAACAACTACTTGTAGATGATGATCATGATTGCTGTAGTACTACTAGTACTTAGCAATCTCCTCCCAGATGTTTTGCAACAAGTGAAAGAACAAGAACAAAGGAGCTGCTGACTTGTTGCTGATTCTGGTGCTATTTCTCTTTCTTCATTGACACCATTTACCAGTTGTGCCTCCATAGTAGTACTACTACACCTCCTCAGAGGAAGGTGGTGGTGCTACTAGTACCCCTTGCAGCTGCTAGTACTAGGAGCATTCTTCTCCCAAGAACTTCTGGTTCTGGCCCACATAGTAGATCCTCTTCTAACTAGCAAGTTCATGTTGTTAAATATACTACTACTACTACTACTACTACTACTAATAATAATAATAATAATAATAATAGTAGTAGTAGTAGTAGTAGTAGTAGTAGTAGTAATTTGAAGATTTTTTCTTCACCATTTGCAACGACAAGAACAAACTTCTTCCTCTTCCACAGTTTTACATTTCTTGAAAAGATACAGAAAACAGCATATCGTCAAAAACACCAAAAGAACCTCTGGAACAAGAATCAGGTGAACTTGTCAGATTGACTTGTTCTTGTTACTAGTAGTTGTAGAAAGAGTTTAACGCAATCTGCTGATAGTTCAGGTAATACTACTAAAGTAGTCGGTAGGCATGGTTTTTTCCTTAGAGAACTCTCTCGATAGAGCCATTCGGAAGTTTTTGTTGTATTGTACTGTACGTCCACCAGTACTTACCGTACGTACGTGCACGTACATCAAGTAATAGGGTACGAACTTCGAAGTAACAGGAAGTGATGGCTGACAACCGCACGTATGGATTCCATCGGTATTGCATCTCGAATCATTCAGAAGGTGTTTTCTCATCGCAAGACGGCATCTTTTAACCCACACGGTAGCGGCGCTCTGTCCTCCTTACTGGCGGCTTTATTCGACCGACAGATTATCGCTCGGACCGAAACCATCAGAAATATTTAGCTCATAGAAGGTAATGCAATTACCACCGTTGCTTTTCACGGCCTTGT